GAAATGATATTACATCATAAAGACACACGAGGGCACTCTAATCAACCAGCAAAGAGAAACAGAAAAGATAGTGAAATCAGGTTGACATTTTAACAACTGCACCACAATAGGTGAATTAATAAGCACTGGTAAAATTGTGAATGTTTGTAATTCATAGCAAGAGATTTTCTATTCTTGATCCAAGTTCTAAGAAGTCAAAAGCATTCTGTAATTCTGTAAATGAGAGAAATAATCTATCACTCTCAGATCAGAGGTGAGGAATAACCACACCCCTTTCTAATGATTTGTTAAATTAACCTTGGAGCAGAATTTGCCCCTTTCAAGCAAAGATCTAGATCATCTACAGTTCCACTGGTGTTTTATTTGTCCTCCACTGGGAGCAGTCTATGAATCCATTTCTTTGCTCCATCTGTTTTCCTAGGAGAAATGGTGAGTTAAAAGTTTGAGCCTTCCCCAAGAAAGCCAGTAGTAATGAAACAGCACTTTGTATAAAGGAGCATAGATCACTGAAGAACATCTCCTGGCCTTCCTGAGTTTTAAAATTTGTAAATACAACTACAGCATGTAATTTCCTCCATCAAATTCAAAAAGTATAGCATAACAAGCATTTAAATGACCTTTCTCCCAAAACTTTTAACAAGAGAACAACAATAACTACAGAGCCATGGATTCTGAAGCAATCAGGTTCATTCACTAAGGATTATCACTAATATTTTTTTTAAAAAATTTTATTTATTTAAGAGAGAGAGAGAGAGAGAGAGAGAGAGCAAGATCAGGGGGAAGGGGAGAGGGAGGAGCAGACTCCCCGCTGAGCAGGGAGCCTGACCCTGGCCTTGATCCCAGGACCCCAGGATCATGACCTGAGCTGAAGGCAGACACTTAACCAACTGAGCTACCCAGGCGCCCAGCTTATCACTAATCTTAAAGTCATATTCAAATTTGTGCCTCAGCAAAATCATAAATAATTTCCTGTCATCAATCTTTGGGGTCAAATGTAAGAATTAAAATGGAAAGTATTAAAACTTTGAGTGCCAAGGGTATACTGTGGTTGCATAATAAATCTTTGTTGACTTAATAAAAAGATTCTCTCCATCTCTGGATCCATAGAAAGTATGACACATGCTGCATTCCTGAACTGCTTCTTACTATCTTCTTTAATCTTCATCTATTTGAATGACTAAATTCCTAGATATGATGTTTCAAATTCAATATGTCAATGTATTCAGTATTTTTTTGTTCCACGATGTTTTGGTAAGGACCCTGATGAATTCTAGTTTCTATCCTTTCCTGAACTGGCCACCTGGGTATACACAGGTAGGTTCAATTTATACTAATAACAGAACAGGCTCTAAAATATGCTAATTTTCTTCTAATCTTCTAATTTTCCTGCTCTTTAAAAATGATTCTGGTTAACTGAAGGTGCCAATCAACTTTTTTCAGTTAAATAAAGCTGCCTGAATACTGCATAATATTATAGACAGTAATTAAAATCGTTTGAGTTGGTATCTTTTTTTTTTTTTAAAGATTTTATTTATTTATTTATTAGAGATCGAGCGAGAGAGAAACAGCATGAGAGAGGAGAGGGTCAGAGGGAGAAGCAGGCTCCCCGCTGAGCTGGGAGCCCGATGTGGGACTCGATCCCAGGACCCTAGGATCATGACATGAGCCAAAGGCAGTCGCCCAACCAACTGAGCCACCCAGGCGCCCGAGTTGGTATCTTTCTAAGGAGATATCCAAGGAATATTTTATAATGACATCCGCGGTCTTCCCTTGGGTGTGTGAAAAGCCACCAAGAGAGTGATGTGTAAAGTTAGAGAACTATAAATGGCATTACAGAGGTTAAATTGGGTAGTATAAAAACCAACTTGGGCACTCAACTCAATTGGTATGGTCTGATATGGAGCCCTTTATATTATCAAGGAAGTTTCCAAACTTTAATTTTTTTTTACCAATAATCTTTTTTAAAGATCTTAATTTAATCAAACTCACATTTAAAGCTAATTTTAAAAACAGCCTTGAATAAACTCTCCCAGTATGCACTCTGGCTTCCTTTTATTAAGAGATAACATATGCCAGATACTTTGCAAGGTGCTGGAATCCCGGCCCTCATTAACCAAGAGTCTTAAGGAAGGAATCTTGGATTCAGATCTTGGTTCTACTACTTTTCATCTGTGTAACTGTGAGCCACTTCATTTTCCTGAGGCTCAGACTTTTTATCTGTAAAATGGGAATACTATCACCTAGATCAAAGGAGTAAGTGGGACACTACACGGTACCTAGCAAGGTGCCTGGCACACAGTAATTGCTCCACAAAAGGTAGCAATTATTATTTTTTTTACTCCAATGGATATTGCTTATTGTAATGTTTTAAATATACTCCTTAATCTTTTCTTATCAATAGTCACAGGCCTTGACAATCCTTCAGAGATTATTTATTCCACAACTGTTCAGTGGCATCATACTATGTGTCAGGCCCTGGGAATATATGAGGGAAGACAGACATAAAACCAGTAATTACCAGTGCTACAAAAAGAAAATGTGCCATGGAAGCATATAACGGGGGTAACCAATTCAAGGAAACCTTGAAGAAGTACTAAACAGAGACCTGAGATAAATGAAAAAATAAGGCAGGCAAAAAAGCACTGTAGGCAAAGCAACACACTTAAAGTCCCAGAGGCAAAAGTATAGTGAACTGAAGGAACTGGAAGATGTGCAATATAATTGGAACCAGGAGAGCAAGGGAGATGAGGGCTAGGTAGGAGCCTGGAAAGGTAGGCAGGGCCATATTCTGCAGGACCAAGTAAGCCAAGTTAAGAATTGTAAGACTTTATACCAAGGGCAAAGGAAGCTACTGAGGGGTTTTATGGAACCCTGCAATTTAAAACAACTTCTGAGATTCAGAGTAGACTGGATAGGGTCAAGACTGAACTCAGGGAGATCATTTAGAAAGTATTGTTGAATTCCAAGTATCAAGTTAGAAAGAGCCAGTACAAAAGCAGTATTAGTGGGACTGGAGAGAAAGAGACTTGTTCAAGAACAAAGGCAGAATCAATCAACAAGATGTGGTCATAGATTGTGCATGGGGAGGGTATTCTGGGAAGTAATAATCTCAAAAACAAGAATGTGCTCAATAAAATGTATTTCTGTGTTTCATGATATAAATGTAAAGCATGGTTTATTACTACATATTCCTGAAGCAGTACACAAAGTTAAAAATCTCAGGCCATGGGACGATTTATTTCAACTTTATGAGGCATGACACACAAAAGATGTCTAAGTGAGCATCAGTGTTTTTGAAACCACTTTGCTATGTTGATGGTAATTCTGCATAGATCCTGCAAGATCATCTAACAACTACCAAATGAGTTTTAATATGTAACACATGGATTGAAAGTAAAGAGGGAGGCACTATAAATAGAACACTTTTTCTTCCTAGGAGGCATATTTTGGTTCTTAAAGGAAAAAACAAGTTTCTACTCTTTTCCCTTCCATGCTTCCACATCTGTAAATATATTAAGCAGGAGGAATATTATGAGCAAACCAAAGTACGTGTAAAGTAAATCTTGGCTCTCAACCAAATGTATTTTTATGGAAAAAATTGTTTCACACTTGCATGCCTTCTCACCAAGCACACCAAATATGATTTAACATTTACTGGGGACACATGGTCTGTGCTCCAATCATTTAGGTGCAAACTCTTTTGCACCTAAAACCTGAACCCTCTTCATGGAAGGCCCTGGCCGACTCCTCTTTCTTATCAGTTCGAGTCCTTTCTAGGAAGCTATCTTCCACCTCTCCCCCACCCCCATTATCCTCTCAATTCCCCAAACCCTGAACACGTTTTTATTTTACCATGAATTGCAATGAATTAAAATTTTGGCTTTCTTTTCTATCTTCATTAAATTGCATGCTTCTATAGGGCAAGGCAGTGACTCTCAATTCTGCATTCTTAAATGTTTCACATTCAGACCCAGGAGCAAATTGACAGTCAAGGTTTACTAATCTGTGCCCTTCTCCCTACCTAAGTGCAGCTTTAAATGGCAGCAGTTTTGGAGTTGAATCTACTTTAATACTTTCTCTGACTTCTTTTCAGAAAACAGCCGACACTTTGCAGAGTATATACCTGTAAAGTGTGTGTGTTTGTGTGTGTGTGTGTGCGCGCGCACGCGTGTGTTCAAATAAGAAAACAAACCTTTTGTTTTTGTATAAAAATCACAGAAAGTAAAGCCTGACATACTTGGCTGCAGGAACATTAATTTTAAAAGGTTGAGAAACAGCATCTCACACCTCCTAAATAATGCTATTACTAATTCTATAGAGGTAGAATAATCTAGTTAGATCTATGCACAGTAAGTAAAACGGCCCAGAATAAAGGTCTGAGAAGCTTTTCAATAAGCAAAGTGTTTGGGTTTTATGATGCAAAGACTTCTCCAGATACACTGGCTCATGCAGTCCCTAGGGTGGAATGCCTTAACACTTCCTCTCAGCCCACTGTATGTAGTGTTTAAGACTCAAATCCTCCAAAATCACACCCTGACTTCGTCCTTATCTAAAGTCCTAGGGCAGTTAGGAGTCTATAATACAAAATTTAGTGTTTACCCTCTGCCCAATATTTTCTACTCTCCGCTCAGATCTAACAAAAGCCGCCTCAACAACGGTAGGGAGAAAAGCTAATCAAGTGCCAATAGCATGGAAAGAAGTTAACCTATTTCAACACTCACGTGTCAGCTGAGAAGTCAAACCTAGCTCATAAAGCCCAACCTTAGTTCGTAGAAGAAATGCGACAGTCAACGTCTTATTTAACCAAAGGGACCCGTCAACGGATACATAAGATCTTTAGGCAGCTGGGGGTGGAGGGTGGGGGGGATAAAACTCAAATCTCAACAACAGCAGCTTTCCTTGGTCCACCCACTTTCTACTTCCCTTCCCAAGGTGCAAACGAAGAAGTCCAAAAGGATATGGCATCACCTTTGCTCTCTGACCTAGGAGCAGAGACTCACCAGTTTCATGTTAGACTTCTGGTTGTTCAATACCAGACACTCCACTTCTCAAACGCAGAAAGCCTCTTCCGGTTCAATCACCGCCACCGGCCCGCCGAGAGCATCGCGGGACATGCAGTCCTTCTTCTCTACGCCCCCTCCCCGGGGCATCATGGGAAATGTAGTCATCTCTCCGTGCATCATGGGAACTGTGGTCATCTTTCTTTTCCGTCCCTTTCCTCTCCAACGCCTCCTTCGGCCAGCTCAAATTCATCCCCGCCGCCAATTCATCCTCCCTCTGCACCCCAGCATGATATCATGTCCCGTCTCTGGACCTGGGACCCATGGTATTCTGGGATGTGTAGTCCCCATGGCTCTGGCGCCCCTTACCCCTCCTCCCTGTGGGAAGGCGGATGGGCGCGGGACTTGCCGGGAGCTGTAGTTCCCTGGGGCCTCTGGATGCTAAGTCCTGAGCTTTTACTCAAGGGAGGCAAGAACTACAACTCCCAGGGCCGCCCGGCTGCAGCAGGTGGGAGCGGGGCTGTTGATATCAATATGGCGGTTGTCAGCCAGACAAAGACAGTCAGTCTGATGTGATTGAGACAAGGGAGGTTTTCAGGGGGAGACTGGGAGATAGGGGCCTCCCCTCCCCCTTCTCCTCTTCCTGCGCCGGCCTCACCCCCTCCCCAGTCCCCTCCCGACTGGCGCCCCACGCGGAAGACACCCCTCCCCCTCCCGCTTTCCCCTCCTCCCTGCCTCAGCCCTTCGTACTGGGACGTTGGGGAGGGGGCTGTGCCGGGCGGAGAGAACTCAGCAAGGATTCTGAGGTGAGTCGAGCGGTTTTGAAGCCGGACTACCTCAAGTCTCTTTCCTCACTTCTTTCTCTTCACTTTTTTTTTTTTTGAGGGGTTTTGGGGAGTAAGTGAGTGGGCTGGGATGGGTCTCTTAAGCGGCCCGATTGAGAGGAGGGAGGAAGCAGGGGGCTTCCGAGTGGGTAACCCGGACGCAGGGTGTGGGGTGGGGCAGTTTGTGGGGAGCGGTAATTGAAAGGCGTCGGTTGCTCCCCAACTCTTTTCTCCTGCTTTTCTCCACTGTGGGCGGAAGGTTTGAATCCTGGAGGTGGGGTCTCCTGTTTGGAGTTTGGGAAACTGCGAGGTGAATTTGAGGTGTGTGGGTTTGTTTGGGGTTTATAACTGTTTTAAACTGTGTGACGTGTACTTGTGTGATATGTTAGTCTTGAATAAATGTCTACAGATAGGAAGTTAGATAGCTGGAGTCATAGCTTTTATCTGGGCCTGGGCAGAGAAGCGTGCGTGAGGTCCGCGTCCTGGACCTTTGGGCTGGCGACGTGGTGCGGTGTAGCTGGGGTTAGCAACTCGTTTGTGTCCCATTGCCCGCTCACACTTCTCCTCCTGCCTCCGCCTCCTCCCCTGGACAAATCTCCACCCCAAACTCCGGGCTGAAGAATTTTAGAGATGAGGTGGTGTGGAGATGGATTTTTGCATCCTTAAGTCCATAGATAGATGGGAAAGGAAAAGTGTTCTTAATATTTTATTCCGGAACCGTGTTTTGGTTACACTATTGGGGCTACTTTGAAAGGAGTCCTCCGCCCACCCTCACCCCGAAACAGTAGGTAGATGTATCTCATCGTCTTCGTGTTAAATGCATTAAACATTACTTAAGATTCGGGGGCGTGCGGTGGGGGTCTGGAGTGCTGACATGGGTATGCGTCTCTGTGTGTCTACTAAAGACACAGGATGACTGTTGTATATCTTGAGATAGGGAGACTTATTTTCGTAGTAGGAAAAACTGTTGGAAATTATTTGGTGGCGGGGGGAGTAGCTGATAGGCGCTGCTTGTATTTTTCTTCTACCCCACCCTGTTCTGTCTCGGATTTGTCTGAAAGCTGGTATGGAAGAGTGAGGAAGCATTGGGTGAGTGAAGGATGGAAGGCAGTTGACATTAAAGATACTATACTGTATAAAGTTGAATGGTGTAAAGTGATTGCTGTTTTTTACCCTAAAGCTTTAAAACCCTTTTGTATCTAATAGGGTAGAGTGATGTGACTAGTTCATTTCTCTGGGATCCTGCAGGTGTAGAAACCTCTCTTCCCTCCCTTCCTTCCCTTCTTCCTCCTTCAGTCCTTCCTTTCTTTCTTGGCATGCTACATTTCTCTTCCCAGATGGACATGATGCCTCCTGTGCCTGTTTATTTAGTTTGTGCTAATATAGTTGTGCTTTTTGTGATTTTACTATAAAACGCATCATTAGATGAAAAGGACTTGCATTTGTTTTTACTTTGCATTTATGCCACAGGTAATTGTCACATCAGGATTGAAGTGCTTTGCATTAAACTAATTTTAAAATTGCACAACTAAGTTGTTAGATCTAGTTGAATTATGTTTGTAAGTCAAGTTTGGAAAATTTGAATTCTGATTGTTTTCTCAAGTTTCAAGTAGAGTTACAAAGGCAAGAGGGTTGCAACATCTCTTTTTTCTCAGTCTTTAATAGTTAATAACATTACACCAGGAGAATTTAAGACCATATAATATTTTGTAGTTTCTTCAGTCTGAAATAGAAGTTTTTCAATAGCACTCCTTCTGTGACAGTTTTTTTGTGTAATGGACCTTTAAATAACTAAAGGAATTGGCATAATTGCTCTTTCGACTGTTGAGACTTAGTGTATTTACATATTTGGCTCCAAACTTACCAATTCTCAAATCTATCAGTAAAGGACTTTAGATTCCATAAAAACTGAAAGTCACATAGACACAGTATGCAGTTTTATGGTATGTTTTATGACCTTTGATTTGAAATTTCTGCAGTTGATCATTCACACAGATGAGCTGACTGTAAACGTGAGGTAGTATGTATATTTAGATTGACCTGAATAAAAAAAAAATTGATGTGTCTTCTAAGTCTCAAATTTAGAATATAAAATATGTTGATACAAAGCCGAACCTTTTGTTTGTTTTAGACTAGGATATCCAGAATTCTTTGTTTTAACCTTCTGTCTTAATCTGAAACATTACTTTGCCAAAACTGGAGGAAAATCCCATGTAACTACATAATAGAGTATATTTTTGCTGGAAGATATTCTGTTAGATGTAGAGTTTTTAAATGTTCAATACTTATTTTAGAAATAAAAAACTAAAATGTCTAAGAGTTGGAAAAATAAAACAGTATTTTCTCTTCCACCTACCTACCCTTACCTCAGATTTTCTTTTTGTTTGTTTTCTTCCATGGAAGTGCAAAGTTACTTACTGGGAAAACCTTTCATTAAACTTTTTCTGACTAGTAGTCTGGTTGAAATCATTGTAAGTAAACCAAACATATTCCTTGCATTTGGCGGGGGTGATTCTGTTGCACTCTAAGCACTGAGCATTAAAATGATGTAAAGCCTTTACTGCAGGTTAAAGCATAAAACATTGTCAGCATGTGGAAGTCATATGGTTTATGAAAAGAGTAGAAAATCAGGGCATTGGTGCCTGTCCAGCTTAAAATTTCATCCCGTAACTGTGAAAGACACATTTATTTTAATATGATTGCTTCTAAAAATGTTGCCTGTATTATGGGAAGTTGAGAATCCAAACTGTTTTTAACCGATCTGTTGCTAGTTTAGTGTACTGCATATCATGAATACTGTGGTTACAAATGTGCATCAAGGAGCCTTTAGGGGTCATCTTTATGTTGAATGTCTTTAGTGAGGCTTCATTTTCATTGCTGTATGAACAGATTTCGCTCTTAGCACAAATCCTTAGTTGAGGCATCACTAATAGAAATTTAATAGCTCAGTACTGATAAATTTTAAAATATATTGCAACAAATCTCTCATTGTTTTAGCATTAAAAAAATAGAAGTAACCAGTTTGTGGCAATTTTTGTGGCAAGTATCTATTGGAATGAGATTGCTTGTTTGAGTAGATGTTGAACACATTGGGATATTTATGCTAAATTTGTTCATTTGGGGTCTTGTGTATGTTATATTCAGTCCATCCCACTTTTAAATGTTGCAGACAGCTTCCATGTTTCCTGTAAAACCACGTTTGCTTTTGGGTTCATTTCTTTGCAGCTCTTGCTTCTATTATTTTTGTATGCAGATCTTTAAACTTGAGTTATTTTTCTTGGAAATTAGAAATTTATCCTAGGATGTCATTTTTCATAAATGAAAGTTGGTGTACCACTCAGCTTTTAAAAAATGTGAATGTTTATAGGTAAACTAGAAAGTGCTCAGTGAAAATATCTTGGGTTTGTTTTGAAAACCTGCTTTATTTAGGTTGTTTTGGCTTCCAGAATTAATTTTGTAGCTCCCTTTGCTTTTTGGCCAGATTTTTCTCTTAACTCTTGGCTTTTGCTTCTCAATTCAGTAGAACTTTAATTTATAAAAAAAAAACCTTGTTAGTGGGAATCACAGCTTGTCTAGAGTGTCCTATGGCTACATTTACATATGCACTCACATAAAGCACCTTTATGTTTGTTTATATATGAAATTGATATATATCTATGAGGCATGCAACCTGTAAAAAAGGAATCTGAACCACAAATAACAGGACACTAAACAGTGGCTCAAACTAGAAACCAGAGTAACTACCACCATATGCGGTCCACATTATAGAAGCTATGGAGATTTTCAGTATCATTAATGATAAGCCATTATTTTAACAGATTCTGCCAAAATCTATTTCTCTCAAAATGGAAGCTATTGGTATTGAAATTTTTCTGAAAATAATATTAATTAATATGTGTCTTAGATTCCTAGGCGCAGCTGTCTTCCCACCTGACCTGTACTGGTTATAGGGCCCATCATAAGTACAGAGTAAAGATTTTTCTGACTGATTATTTGAGTTATAACTTTTAGTTATAGTCTATTTAAACATAATCCAGTCTTTAGTTAACTTGTTTTTCTTAATCTTAGATGAAACAAGTTGGAAATTTACTATAACATTGTTTTGGACACTTTCCAAGAGCATTTAGTTACTGGAAGGCTTTGGCTTTGGCATAGCTTTACCCTTACAATGGTAATAAGTTTGGGGTTGCAGTAAGTTTTTCCAATGGTTATTTTAATTCTAATGCAGTACTTTACAGATCCTTGACTTGGGGAATAAGGATATTGTTTTTTGGTTTTGTTTTTTCATTTACAAACAAAATGAGAAAAAGCAATAGATTTAGCTTGAAGTTATGAGTTATTATACTTTTTTTTGAATCTTAAAACAGGTGTCCATAGATTCATTCAAAGGGCATTTAGGTTTTTTTTTAAACTTAGAGTGCTGATTATGATACTGTTTACTAAGTTGCACATATTTTCTGTAGCTTGTCTCATGTTCAGTGATGGTCTGCATGTGGTTTATCGAAAACATTTAATTGCTCTCTTTACTGTATGCATATTAAACAATTAGTGTGGAGTTGCCAAGGGGCAGTAATTTTAATGTTTATAGTTACAGTTTTCAAAGAGGAGAAAGTCACATGCTGTGGCTATTGCTGAAATGAGGATGACCTGAGACTAAATTTATCTGCTTTAAGATTTTGATAAGTAGTGGTGTGATTAAAATGTGAAGCTGTTGGGTTGGGCCTACTCAGTCAAACCTTGAGTCACTCTGACTCTCCACATCCAATCATAGAATCAAGTTGATTTTACATCCTTTGTATCAATTAACTTCTTTTCATTATATGCTATTCCCTTAATTCAGGCCTTCATCATTTCTGTCTTGCCACATCAGTTTCTTAACTAATTTTCCTGCTTTCAGTATTTTTTCTTAAGTAATTTTTCACTCCTACCTGAGAGATCTTGCTAAAACAAAATGTGGATTTGATTGTTAGCCATACTTTGCCTGTGATCCTTCAGTGGCTCCCCAGCCTTTCAAATAAATCCAAACTGTTATTCTACCCGTGTCCAAATCCTAGTTTTGCCAATTACTTGCTGTGTGACTTTGGGCAAGTGTTTTAATCTGTCTGTTCCTCAGTTTCCTCATCTGTAGAATGGGGATAAATAGTCCTCACTTCATAGGATTATCATGAGCACTTAGAATACTGTTAAGTACCTAGAATGCTTCAGGGATATCATAAATGTTAACTATTATTATCATCGTATTATACCACGTGTTTTGTGTTCTAGTTCCTTCTGTATATTTTATCATTATCAACTCTAGACCCTGTGCGTTAGCCATGCCC